ACAGCTATCTAGGGAAGCCAGCCTCTCTTCCCCTTACAACAGTGGTCCCCAAATTGTCGGATTGGTGGGGGGGGTAGGGGGAAGTGGGGATGGTTCTGTGCTGCTGAAATGTCCATAAGAAAAAAATTGGCTACAGAAGTATAGTGCCATCTTGTATCAATTATCTGGACATACCTCTAACAATCTTTGGACCATTATGTTATTATCCATTTTTAATGTCAATACTTTTTAATTATATTTTAATGTTAGCATTTTTAATACAGTGTAAAAACGAATGTGTATTGCTGGTCTTTGACATAATAAAGATTTTACTTACTTACTTACTTACTTACTCTCCCACCTGTGCTTCTAGTCTTCACTCTTGAGTGCTGTCCTGGGTGAGCTGTCTCCAATCAAAGGTTTTATAGATGTTCAAGGAAAAATAGCTTATGTTTCTCAGCAACCCTGGGTGTTTTCTGGCACAGTAAGAAATAACATACTTTTTGGAAAGGAATATCGAAAGGAAAAATACGAGAAGGTTTTAAGAGCCTGTGCTCTTAAAAAAGTAAGTTCTACATCTTTAAATACATTTTGGGTTGTTTTTCAGTTTTTGACAATGAAAATTGGCAAAGCGTTATGCATGGAAAATTACACGGAGCCTCATTGCTATAGAGTCCCAAAAACCAGTCCAACATCCAAAATAAAACAATGTTAAGAATTGATAAAATTCCAGTGAAATATAGGACATTATGCATTGTGCAAAATAGCTCCACTGTAATTTAAGTTGGATGGAACCATAAATAATTATGCAGACAGGGCCTTTTTGGGATGAAGCCCCACTTAATTTTAAACATGGGGTCAGAGTGGCACTCTTAAAGGAGCTGAATGGAGAACATCGTGAAATTTGACTTGATTTAATTTGATTTTAATTAAATTTAATTAAATGTAACGACTCATAACTTATATGTTTCCTCGGTTTCCCCCCATTGCCGTATTAAAAATTTTCAATTCAGTGATAATTTTGTGGGTTGCAGTGATATACCCTGCTGTAATACTTCAAGATTTCTCTATTTCCCATTTAAAAGGCATAAAATAAATCCTAGGAGGAAATAATTCAGGTTAGAACATCTTTCACATACCATACTTGTGAGAGTGAAGACAGAAATTGCCATGGATATGTTGTTCCTAAAAATGCCATTGGCTTCTTAAGCTGGCATTGGTATTTCAGAGAACGTCCTTCAGAACATTTCAACTTTATCTTTGATTTGGCAGGTGTGATCTAGGACATTAAAATAGATTGCTAAGAGACAGATAATTTTGTTTGGCAACTTGTAAAATATTATACACCAAATCCAGGACATGGCATTTGATGATGCCGCTGTCAGGCTGAAGATGGATGAAAAGCAGTTAGTTTAAAACCTTTTGCAAAACACATTTTTGTAAAAATGCAGTTGGTCACTTTTTTTATAATCTTGTTTTGCATTATGAAAACTGCCCATCATTTTCCTAAAATTCATATTTAATTTGTAGTGGTTCATAAATTGTATAAACACACTTCTTCGGAGGGTGAAAATCTTACCAAGCAATTCTGATTAATACGGTCTCCTTTTGAACATAATGTATGCATATTAATAATATTTACGAGGGTTCTCAAATCATTAAAATGACAAATGCAAACTTTTTTATTTGAATAATACTCTGTCGTTGATAGGATATTGACCAGCTGGAAGATGGAGACCTAACAATGGTTGGAGACAGAGGAGCCACTTTGAGTGGTGGACAAAAAGCCAGGATTAATCTTGCTAGGTAAAGTGGGGTTGACTTTTATGAGACCATCTTGAACCTGCAGATATCAATTAAAAACCCAATGCATTTGGTGGAGCTCAAAACTAAATTATGCACATTTCAAGGTCACCTGTAAAAATTTAAAATTGCATCAATTTGTGATAACAATCTAATGACAGAAATCAAACTATTGAAATCAAAGTCCTCACAGCAAACAATGCTACATATTACAGGTAGTCCTTGATTTACAACAGTTCATTTAGTGACCATTCAAAGTTACAACGGCACTGAAAAAAGTGACATTTATCAATTACAACCTTTGTATCATTCCCCATGACCAGGGGTGAAATCCAGGAGATTCTGACAGGTTCTGGAGAACCAGTAGAGAAAATTTTGAGTAGTTCAGAGAACCAGCAAATGCCATCTCTAGCCAGAGTAGGCTGGGAATGGAGATTTTGCAGTATCCTTCCCCTGCCACGCCCACCAAGCCACACCTTTCAAATCATACCACGCCCACCAAGCCATGCCCACAGAAC